TGTAAAAGCAAAGCTTATCCAATTTCAACGGGTATTACATCAACATGGTACTTATAGGTACAATATCCCACCAAGCCATAGGTTTATGAGTGAATTACACAGCGCGTTGAAGCAAAGTGACCGGTCTTTCAAAAACCACCGTAAATTGACTGCAGTTAAGTAAATACTCGTACAGCATTCTTGTCGAATACATCAATCGTTTCTTTGTCGTCGGGAACATTGACTACGTAGCATATATTTTACGTGTCGGAACTAAAAAATATTAGCAGGTTCCAAATCGGGGCTAAGTAATGGATTATACATCTACCATTTCTCTCAGGGTACACATTTAAAGGTCGGACAATAATGCCAATGAACCTCATTTCAACAAATAACATTTCCTTGAGACTAGTTGAAATAAATAAATAATTCACGATGACTATACAAGTGCTGGAATATACTGTTTATAGAAATTAATTAATGAAATTAGATTTGAAAATGTACAAAGAATACATACGAATTTCAAGCAATTGAAAATTTTCTGTTTTAGAAAAATGCTAATGTCTTTGTAATAAGTGTAATAAGTCTTTGGATAAGTGAGTAACATATTTCTCCAATTTCAATCAAGTTGAAATAAAAGGTGCTTTAAGCCAAAATTAGAAATAAACTGTGAAAAGTAGAAAAATTCGAATTATAACAATGCAACAAGTTGAGATACTTTTTTGTAATTCCTTCGATAACTAATCAATTATTTATTACCTACCTATTTTTTTTTCTGACGCCTCGTCAACGTGTTCATAACATAATTCCGTCATAACAGTAATAAAAAAACACTTATTCGAAGGGGAATTTCCTTTAACGAGAGAAAGAACAAAGAGGTCTTCATCAGCTTATTGATATTCTATTTTTTTCCACGATCCGCCGAAACTTAATGATCAAATATCATTCTATCCCTCAGAATGAGAAATGAGTTTTGCTCTAACCCACACTCAGTAAATAATTTCGATTTTATGGTAATTGAATTGAAATTGGATTGCATTCAAATCATTCAAATACACTGTGTAAGTGCGTATGTGATTTTTTTATATAACATCCGTTTCTCAGATTGAATGGTATTACTTATTACAAGAAGTTTTAATGAAGTAGCGAAAAGGTACAGTATTTCTTTCAAAGTAGAAATATATTCGAATGTTTGACTTGAAAAGGGTATATATATTTTTTGAGAGATTCATTTTTGATAAAGAAAGATTTTGGCTCTTCGCTCCTCCATCTTTATACAAAAAATGCGGGAGTATTCCAAAGAAAGGAAAAAAGTATTCAATTTCAAAATAAAATTTTCACAAAGAGTGAAATAACTACTTTCCTAGCAACATTGAACGATGGAAAAATTATTTTCGAAACAACTTCAAATTGAACAAAAAACACTTTTTCCTATTCAGTTTGTATTCCAAACCTCCGTTATGAAATTGAATCAAATATCATTCACAAGATTACTTACTACACACTACTATAGAGTGCATTTCTTTAATGCCCCCCTCCTTTTATTTTTTGAACGGGTCAACTCTAAATATTGAAATTTGGGATAGTGAAATTAATGCATGAATACTTTATTTTGAAGTGAAATTGACAGATAAAACGTTGAAGATGGCGACTGGGCGCCATCTGGGGATAATTCGGAAAGGTGGGTCTTGTGACACATCATTTTGAAGCTCCTGACGAATACTTCACAACTCTAGAATATGAAGTCAATATCTTCACCTACTAAAAAATGGCGGAACATTTAATAATTTCCTGGAGACAAACACATTAATATCGATATTTCTAGAAATATTCCTTTTTATCTGCCAAATGCAATTCCAACAACCCGATAAGGTTTGTTAACTTATTTTTTGTTTATAAAAACGACAAAAAATGTCAGTAGGACAATGAACATCATTGTTCAGTAAGAATATTCTCATTTAGTTTTCGGTTTTACTAGTATATAAAGGTACCACGCCAACGATCTCTAAAACGGTCAATTCTCGTCCATTGGAAGAAAAAATTGAAGCGATTTTTATTTACGGTGCGACGCGTAACTTTCACAGGACCGAAAGGATTTTCAATGAACGTTTTCCGAATCGTCCTATGTGTAGAAAATATTTGAGGGAACTTGTATCCAAATTCCCAACTAACGATACTGTATATAACAAAAAGCTCCCAGGTCATCCGTCCATTCCTTAAGAACAGCAAGTGCAAATTGGTGAGATGGTAGTAAATCCTGAACAGTCTACTCATTTCGTCGCGAATGTTTGTGAGGTGTCTCCTTCTACTGTGTGGAGACTTTTGAAGAGGAATGGGTATCATCCATACAAAATTGAAATGGTACACCAATCAACTGAAGATGACCCTTATGGAAGAACAGAATTCTGTGAAATCATGACGAAAACCATTGCAAGGCATCCTGCCTATCTCCACAATATTTGTTTTAGTGACTAATGTAAATTTTTTTTATACGGCAATGTTCACACACAAAATTGCCGTTATTGGAGTGACACCAACCCTCACGTTTTCCGGGAAACACATACCCAGAAAAAATTAATGTATGGGCAGGAATATTGGGAAACCATATTGTGGAAAATGTTCGGCGTGAAATATCGGATAGGCTGTTCATATGTCAAGAAGTTCAAGGCAACCATTTCGAGCATATTCTGAACTGACCTCAAGCTTATTACCTCATATTATGTAGTTAAATGTCAATGTATTCAGGCAATTATTAATATTTCTGCCATTTTGTAGTAGTTGAAGATATTGACATTATATTATAGGGTTGTGAATCATTTGTCAGAAGCTTCAAAAAGATGTGTCACAAAACCCCCCTTTTCATTTAATTTTTTTTCCAGATGGCGCCCAGTCGCCATCTTGTGAGTTTCATATGTTAATTCCTCTTCAAAATGAAGTGAAGAAAAGAGAATTGAAATTTTCTATGTTTTTTACCACTTTTATTTGTTACAAATCCATCAATTTATTCAAAATAAAATATTCATGCATCAATTTCATTATCCCACATTTAAATTTTTTGAGTTGACCCGTTCAAAAAATAAAAGGGGGGAGCGACATTAAAGAAATGCACTGTATGAACGAGACAAACTTTCACTTATATATGATTTCATGGAACAACTTCATCCTCAATGGTGGACATTCGATGTTTCAGAATGAGGCACTTGTCTTATTGCCTCATCAACACCAATCTGGATAACGTTACAAGAAAAAGCACTCTCTCTCTCTCTCTATTTTAGATGGTCGTTGCTTCCTATCTTCAGGCGCATATGACCAATGCTCCTCCTGTTGGTTAACAGGAGCTTCGTCGAGGGGCGAAGCGGTCTTGCACAAAGCAATGCTGCCACCCATTTTTTTTCCAACTTTTTATAATAAAACACTAGTTTTTTTTAACATAAAAACAATTTGATTTTTTGAAGTCGCCTCCTACTTGGGAGACCTTTTGATAATTTTTCACATATATAGCCCCCTTTACGTGGTTATCCGAACCACCCCGGCCTGGATACCGGCGTGAATAAAGGGGGCCACTTATTCATCACTTTTTTAGACACTCCACATTTCAATTTTAATACAACACAACACAAAACGGAGCCCCACGATAGCACATGGCATCCGCGTACCTTCTTTGTAGATGGACGTTATCAGCACGTCCGTCCACTACCACGGCCACCACGGAACTCCTATGAAGCACTCAATTCATTCATAAAATTACGACTTCATGTCACGAATGAGTTAAATTTACTCATGTCATGGATGACAGTACGTGATGACATTCATTCGCTTATTTGATTCGATCCCAGCCATAGGAATATTGTTTAAACTGAATAGGAAAAAATATTTTTGTATAATTCAATGCTCATGTAAAAGTAATTGTTTCGAAAGTGTAATTCAAGGTTTATATGAAAGTAGTTGTTTCAAGAGGACTTTTTTCCCAGTTTGTGTCTGAAATATACTTCTTTGCATGATCTACACATCTTTGTGAAGATTTTATTTCGAAATTAATGAGGATGTTCCTCCTGACGAAAATCAAGTAGTTTTCATAAAAGAGCTCTAAAACAACGCATTTTAAACTTATCATTTCAACCTTTTTCTTTAAAAAATGATTTGAATACTTAAAAAAGAGGAATGAAATAATGCATTCAACATTTAAAGGGATTCGTTTCTATTTCACCATTTGGCAACATCGGTTATAGCTAATAAAGGACAATGAATCTGTTACCTGTATGAGACAAACAAAGATGACATATTTCAGAGGCGTGCTGTTCTGTTTACTTATGTTCCGAGTTCCGAGACATTCTGTGACATATGATATTTTGTGCACCTAACCTATCTTCCTCTATATAAATAAATAACAAAACAACTGTTTTTTATGTGGCTTGTGGAGGTGGTATTGAACTATAATTTATATTTTGCCTTGATTGTTGATTTATAAAGATAATTTTCCTTTTTTAAAGTAGAATTTCTAGGTACGTATAAATTCTAGGCGCTGTTGCCAATATGTGAATTAGAAACAAATCCCTTTAAAAATTAAAACCCAACATTTGAAACATCAATTTGAATACTTTTCGAAGTGAATTTGAAAAACTCATGAATTAAACTCAACTTTATTTTGTTCAAACTTGCATTTGCTATAATAACCCAAATTTTCTTCCTTTCTTTGGAAGATTTCCACATTTTATGTATGAAATATTCGAATGTATTCCGAAGGGATATTTATTCGAATGATTTAAATTATCGAAGATAAGAGGGTCCTGGTTTCTGTCTGTAGAGGATAACAGTGAAAATACTACCGTGATGGGCGGGTTTGTGATACACAGCGTACTGGTGGATATAATAGTTTTAACAACTTTCCACGAAATACTCATATTACGAAGTGACTTCTTCTTCCAATCCGTATCTGCAGCTCTAGACGCGATCGCAGAAATATAACATTTCTTTTGCGAATAGGTATTAAACCAGTTATTAACTACCAATACTTGTTGCAGTAATACGAAGAAAAAAACAACGGAGGCGCCAAGTTGGCAAAGGAGAGTCTGATATTTACGGCTACCTGTGGAATGGCATCTGGAACTAAGCGAAAATGGTCAGGTAAGAGAGTAGTTTTTTCCTTCGGCATTTCAACTTTTTCTTTCACATGCTACGTATCGCATTATGTGCGAACAGGTTTTACGTAGGCAGAGACGCACGAGAATCTAAAAATAATCCTCGGAGCCGAAGTCAGATATACATCAGAGCGGATTAGTAAAAATAAAAGAGATGAAATGCTCGTGAGAAACGCATTTTCTATACCAGGTCACTTGAAAAGAAATGTTGGTCGAATGCAATTCAGCATTCAGCAAGGCAGATTGCCAGGAGCGTGCTATTTTTGAGCAATTTTCGAGTTCTTGATTAGATTTGATGTCACGAAAAAAAAAACAGTTGCGAACATTTCTACAAGTGTAAACATTTTTGTTACAAATTTATCACATATAGGAACGACTCCAATTTGTAATATTATGTACTAACATTGTGTACATACTTTTTTACCAAAATAGTCCACCATTCGATATATTTTGTTTTGAAAATTTCCATAACCTTGTGTTACTGGTAACTCTGAATAGTAATAGGTTTTCATTAAAAACTGTAGTGATTTTTCAAATAATATTGTACTAGACCTTGCTTCAATTTTTCACGGAATCACATAAAAATTTGTCAAAATATTCAAAGCATTATTGTGTTAGAAAATTATGTAACTATTATCTAGTTTACATAAAAAAACCTAAAAACTCTGTATTTCAAAGATGACTCTACATTTTTGGAAAGGTAATTTTAAGCTCTATTGAAATATGCAGGAATATACACGATGTCTCATTAAAAAAATAGTTTTCCATCAATAACTATTGATATCTCATTTGAAAAAATAAGTTTTTTACACCATTGAATTAATTCTCCGTAAAAAGTGCTTTGGAAATATTTTCATAGAAACAAGAAATTTTTGACATTTGAATTTCTGGACGAAAATGTACATTTTCTAAAAACATGCTGTAAATCAGAAACGATGATAGAAATCGATATGCGGTTTTCACCATAAAGTTTGTCATTAAATTTAACTTTCAAACACAGCCATCAGTTTTCATCTATCTAGTTTGAAAATAGAAGTTTTTCTTTGAAAGTATCCAATTTGGCCCACTTTGTACATTCACGTTTCTGGAATAGATTAATTAATAATAAGAAACATTTTTGAGTACAAGTTTTTGTTTGCAAGCTCTAAAAAGAAGAAAATGAACCTAAAATTGAATCAAATCCATCTACTTATTACATAACACAATTTATTTGATATTAAAGTTTGTCACGAGATTTACTTATTAAGAAAATATTTTTAGAATTGTTCATGTCAAGATCAAGTTACATATTGTACTTTTTATTTCTACAAAGGTAAATCTCGCGACAGTTTTTATACTGTCCCGACTTCGCAAGGATAATATATCAATATTTCAACCAATTTACACATTAATGAAATATACACATAAAGCTTCCTCTTGAATCACTCCAACTGTGTGAAAATTCTATTAGTAGGTAGGTAGTTTTTGAGACTATCACGTTCAAATAGATGAACAGATGCGATGCGACGGCGACGGGAGAAAATGTCACACGTATAACGTTCAAGTTCTATTAGCATTACCTATACTTGTGATGTTGTAGTCATAACTTTCCACTAACTCGAACTATTTCGCGAACTATTTCAAACAAATTCCAATTTTTTGCGTTCGTTTCTCAGTATACCTGACTTTGGCGCGCATTGATGTGACGTCACGTACTCTACGATGCCGTTCGTTCGCTCGATTGCCTTATTAGTTTCACCATAGTCGTATCATGGCTGCCTTCTCAAGTAACTATTCTGCTTGATTCTACAGAAACCATTTGGGAAGATCATTAGGGAAGATCATTAGGGACTGGTCTTTTGACATTGTCGGTCACTTGTTTGTACTACGTCCCTTCTCTTCTTAGTCGCCTTTCCATCTCCTCTATAGTTTGAGACAGATTCTCATGTTTTTCCGGATTCCTTATAACCATCCAGCGTCTGATCAAAGAGTGTAACCTTTCACGGCCGAAGATAACTCTGTCAAAGGTATTTTTCTCAGAGAGCCTTGAGCAACACCCGAGGTACACCGGTTCCCTTGTAGCTGCTGGTTGGTCTACATTGGAACCACGAAAAAAAGTAAAAGTACCCGTCTCTTTGACCACAAGAGAAATTGTCGCCCCAAGCAAACCGTCAAATCAGCTGTAGCCTAACATACTCTCAAAGAAAGCACTCACGTTATCTCATTTGAAGATACACAAATACTCGACAGAATTACTGTCCAAGAATATATAGAGAGACAATAGAAACTACGAAACACAGGAATAATTTTGATAGAAAGGAACATGTAATGAGCATTAGTTGTGGAATTGGCCGCGGTGGTAGTGCGCCCGACTCACGATCGGAAGATCGTGGGTTCGATTCCCGCCTCGACCAGATATTTTTCTCGAGAGAATGTATCTGGTTGAAGCGGGGATGATTCTGCAACCGTGTTAGGAATCACACGTTAAAAGGTAAGACCTCGTTAGTCCTTAGTTGGCACAAGTTTCTCAACTTGTGAGAGTTGTCGTTCATATGGGGGAGACAGCTGATTAACGGAAAAACATATTTTAAACAGATGTCTTTAAACAGATTAGTAAAATCATGCAACCTGTCCTGAATTGTACACGAACAGGGTCATATGTATAATCCAATCAAGAGAAACGAAGCAACGCCCGTCAATTACGATATAACACCGGAGGCAAACTCCAAAATTACCGTTCCTGCGTTGAGAAAAACTCGAGCCCTTCGACCTTTGCCTTTAACAATGTCTACCGTAGTAGTAGACGATTCGTGAGGCATACAAACGTGCAGACCACGGCCAAAAAATCCGTATACATCCAGCGTTTTCTCGTTGGAACTTTGGGTCCTTGGCTGTCCAATCGAGCCTCTTCATCTTCAAGTCACTGGTAATATGTAGGCGTTTTCTCGAGAAAGCATGGAGTTTCTTCTTGTTTTCTAACGAACTCGCCCCAAGCCCTATCTCTACTTTTCCGCGTTAATGCGATAGTTAATGTACTTCTGTCGAACTAGTACCAGGGTTCTGTTGATGCCAATCAGTCCGGCACTTCTCTGACAGTAGCTTTTGATGCGACCAGCACTGTTTTTGCACTAGTGAGAGTTGGTTCCATGCCAACCTGGAGTTATTGGTGTTAATTTCGTATAGTCTGACATGTACTAGGAACCGTACATTAAAAGGTGATTCTTCGCTCGCCCTAGTTTCGACTTTACACGATTGTTGCTTGCAAGGAAACGAAAGCCGGTTAACAGAGGAACCTTTTGAACCCATTAGTTATGGATATAGCAGAGATCCATTATCGATGAGGTAAAAACTCACGCCTAATCAGGAGTGAGAATAGGGGGACTGTTTGAGTCTTTCTTTAGGCATTTAACTACAGGTAAAGGTAACGATTGGAAGAGTCCTTGTATCACGAAATGGATGAAAAAAGAAGAGGTCCTTCAGTGTCTCAAATTTACCTTGTAGGGGATTCAAAATATTTGTTGGGTCGATGTGAATATTAATATTTATTATTTGTTTCGAGTATAGATCTCAGTTAGAGATTCCCGCAGTAAACTGAAGTTTCTTACCTTTCTCACCCTTTACTTCAAATAATCGGTAGTATCTGAACAATTCAAACCGGTCGAAATGCCACTAATGACGGGTGGAAAGAGGAATATGGTTTACATTGATAACACGCCTATAAACGTGGTTGGGGAACTGTTCTCAGTTTCACCCCTCTAGGTTTGTCTTTACTGCATTCAAAATATACGGAAAGGTTATTAAAACGGGTGTACTATAAAAAATAATAAAGATCTTCTATGGCTTTATATAAATGTTTGGCGAAATATTTCGATTCTGAACAATTATAGAGTACTGACCCTACAACATTTCAATGGTTACTTATATATGAAATGAAAGTTCAAAATTCAAGACGACTCGTCAATGAATCGAAAATAGAGTAATTGTTAAATCCATCATTTCAAATCAATGGATTCAATGATAAAGATAAATCCAAATCAATTGAAGTAGTTAATACCCGTGATAACGTCATATGTAGTGGTAACGTCAGATGTTTTTGAAAGTTCACAGTCCACTTTCATTTAGAAAATAGGTTTGTTTTGATACACTTCATGGTATTTTTTTAACAGTTCAAAGCAATCGCACGTTCAAGTATAGCAAGAAAACTATTGCAAAACAGTTTTTTATCAACTGGGCAACTGTTTTGAGTGCCTCAGTAGTGAAGTGGAGAGTTCGTAAAGTTAAGAATGTGACCGTTCGCACTTTTTCGAAAACAGGTTATGAAATGAATCAAAAAACAAACCTAGTCCATTTACTGAAATCGAACTGTGGACCCTCAAAATATCTGACGGCATAACTGCTGCGCGCGTGGTTGGCAATATTTCTTGTATATAGAATGGTTGATGTAGATTTTGACTTGCCTAATGTTCTTTTTATATGGTATCCTTCAAAATACTGTAAATAGTTTCCGTGGCAATGTTGGTTTGAAACGCCTTGTCAACTTGTTTTGTATGTTACAACATTAGTTGTCAGTATTTAAAGTTAAGTTTAAAGTTCGTTAACTTCAAGTCTGACAAATGGTTAGATTAACGGAAATGCATAAAATAACAGTTCAACAATTGCTTGGTTACGGATATAAAACCCGAACATCGATAGAAAACATTAAAAGAAAATAAAATTCATTATGATCTCCTACCACGTAGTAACGGCTACATCCATCAATTTATTTTAATTATGTCATATTTGTCATAAAACAATAGAAAATTCAAGTAACGAAACAAGCGAAACTTGTTTGCATATGTTAGGCAGTTTTCATTTAGGCATTTCTTGCTTAGGTTCTACTTAATGAAAAATATTTGATCCACTCAAATTTGATCCTGTCTAATTTCATCCACTATTTGTCTTTTTAGTATAAAGTTAGGCAGGCATCGATGTCTCATTTTATCCCAGGCGTTCCTTCTTTTTATTGAATTATCATTAAAAAAATCACTTTCTGGTCATCAAGGAAATTTTCATTCCTGTAAACATTGATTGTTAGAAATCCTCATTTGAAATGGCGTGTAAATGCGGTCTTCAACAGTAAACCTGTTGAATCGATCAAAATACGAGCAATTGCATAATAATTTTAAAAATATTGCTTTCGAAGAAATGCTTTCGAGTATAATCATTTAAAATAAAATCTTTGAGTTTTCGAGGTTTCGAGTTTTCATTAAATTATCATACACTCCACAAAATTTCGAATATTATGAATTTCCAGATATTTTAACGAATGAAACTTGGTGCACTCGGGATATACTCCGTGAATAATCAAACCTTCCATGATACAATCATTAGAAAATAATTGTCTGATAAAACAATTTTGTCACCTCGAATTGCGTCCTGGCCAGTTGCTCTGGTTGCTCTGCTCTGGAGATGGCATGGCATTGATATTATGTAACCAGTGCTGGGTGCAGGCTTGGTATTCTCAAATATTTCACATAACGACATTGCACGAAACTTACTTCAAAGATACGAGATAGTTTTTTTTATAAATGAGAAGAATCAAGACATGAAATCTTTGAGAAAACTTATGAACTAGTTCATATTGAAAACAATTCACCCTAAAATCTTTGGAGTATTGTTCTCTCGTATGGAGCTCCGCACCTGAGCATACCCTGAAGCTGCTGGATTCCATCCAGAAAAGAGCCATCCGCCTGATTGAAGAGGCGAACATAATTTGCAACCTTGATAGTCTGGAACCTCGAAGAAAGGTTGGATATTTGTCTCTCTTTTATAGATACTTTCACGGGAAGTGCTCAAGTGACTTGGCACATTTGATTCCACTAAGAGCGGTATATATCAGAAATACGCGACGGACTGTGGCTACTCATCGTTTTGAAGTTCAACGCAATACACCTCGAACTTCATCGTTTAAGAACCCTTTTAGTTCAAGAACTGCGTTTATGTAGAGTAAAATTCCTGAGAACGTTTTTCCAGCCATTCAAATCCAACGTGAATCACTACTTTTGCAAAGGCACCGCTCTCACAGGGCCTTAAGGATTTTCCTGTAGTGCTTGTGTTTTGAGTTTTTTACATAATAGGGGCCAAGTGAAAGGTTGATTGGAAGGTATTTTTATTTTTTATTCTCGAGAAATAAGAATGGACTTTCTTGGGCATTCAAATTTTGTTAAGTCACCACTATTTTTGCAAAAGGTATTGCTTACGAAATAATGAATTTTCCCTCAATTTAGCAGCTCTCTGTATTTGATAATTTTAAGAAAAAGAAATCGAGTACCAAAAATAATTTCACCCAAAAATATACCCTATTCAATTCAAGAAAAAGAAATTTCGAAATACCAAGTCATAAATTCTAAAATTTTTTGTTCCAGATTTTCTAACATGTCGCCAAGTGTTAAATATAATGGTCATCCTCGGATTCATGTTCAACTACATGCTTCGAGTCAACTTAACCATAGCCATAGTAGACATGGTGATCGATTCAAGCCCGAAGAACGCCACATCGAACTTGACGAAAGTTGCCCTTCAAGAAAGCACCCGCTTCGACTGGGATGCTGGTCAGAAAAACGACATCCTAGGAAGTTTCTTCTGGGGCTACGTCCTCACCGAATTACCTGGAGGCCGGATGGCTGAAATTGTCGGAGCGAGACGGATCTTCGGGGGTGGGATGCTGGCGGCCAGCATACTCACCGTCCTAACTCCGGCAGCATGCTACATGCACTATTACGTTGTTATTACCTTGAGGGTTCTGGTAGGATTCTTCTTAGGAGCCACGTGGCCCGCGATGCCGCCCATGGCTGCAAAATGGATTCCTCCTATGGAGAGATCAAAGTTCATAGCCAACATGATGGCTAGCAGTTTGGGAGCGGCCTTAACCTTGCCAGTATGCGGATTTTTAATCAGCTCGGTTGGATGGGCTAGTGTGTTCTACGTTACCGGGGCCGTCGGCATAGCTTGGTCTATTCTGTGGTTTCTCTTGATTGCCGATTCCCCCGCGCAACACCCGAGGATATCGATGGAGGAAAGAATGGAAATAGAAACGAAGATTGCGGAAGGAGAAGGGGGAAAGAGCATCAAGCCTGATACTGTACCATGGATGAAATTGATGACTAGTTTTCCAGTTTGGGCTATAATCATTACTCATGGCTGCTCAGTTTTTGGATATTTCACGGTGGTGAATCAGCTGCCTACTTATATGAAAGATGTACTTCATTTCAATATTAAGAAAAATGGTTTACTGTCCAGTCTTCCATATCTGGGTAAGTTATTGATTTCCTTTAACAGTAGTTTAGGCTGAGATCGGTAGCCTCCATTCTTCAATATTCGCCTAGATGATATTAAGACAACTTTATTTGAAAAAAAGAGGTCCTGGTAAATATTGTGAAATGAGGCTCCACCAATCTTGTAAAGGTAATCCTTCTCAATAAAAGAGTATTTCTTCATAGTGTGGCCATGTCGCAATATCTAGTTTTGCTCCTCCATACCTCATCTGTACTGAGTTTTAATGTAACAACCATACACGTACATCTAATTACGTCTTGTGTAATGTACATTTTACTACCAATGGGAAAAATTTTCACAAACGCCAGAACTAGAGTACGTACTTTTTCTTGAGTTGTCAGATCATCCATCTCCAATATCCATCAGCGATGATGCTGATCTGGTTAACAAAACATACACTTAGATAAAGTACTCTAGTTCTGGCGGGAGGAAAACGTGTTTTCGTGTTTTCAATACATAAATTTTACATCAGAGGTTCCAATCTTCAGATCGAGGCACACTTTTTGTACAGAAAAAACAATAATTCTCATTGACGAAGTAAGATTCCGGGGAGGTGCATTATGACATGCTCAAGGTTGCCGCTTTCCTATTATGCAGACCTACGAGTTTGTAGATACGTGTGGCAGATACCCAACGGAAAAACAACAACTAACCCAGCTAATCTCTCTGCAATTGATTCAGTGGGATGTTCACTGCGCCACCTGCAGACATAGCCAGGAAACAACTCCAAGCATACTCCGGGGTAGGAGTCGGAATAATGATTAATATTCCGGAGAGGTGCATTATGACATGCTCAAAAGGGGCAACCTTTGCAACTTGTGCTTTTAGCGAATCTACGTATTCTTTAATGAAAAGGTTTTTAAAATGCTTTCTAAGCTTTTCATTACAATACAGGGTGTTCCATTTTTAAGATGAAAAAGTTACTCATAAGTAGAATATAAAAACGCCTTTTGTGTAAAAATAGGGAACCCTAATATAGTGTTCCATTCAACTTAAGGAGTTATTTAATTAAACGTGTGTCCAAATCTGAGGCAATTTTTTTCGCCAGTGGTAGTTACCTTTAACCTTTGAGCTAAGCAGTACATTTAATCACGAGCAGCTCGTTACACGATACAGGATGAACACAATTTTTAAATTCTGGTCTGTATTTTTGAATTTCTCAAAATTTCTCAGAAACGGTCAGTTTTAAGTATGGGAACTATAATAGCAAGTCACCTTTATTTTGTCTATAGTATCTAAAAATATAAAAAATATAGGGTGTTCCATAAGAAAAAATATAACTTTAGCACACATGAATGTGCTAAGAGTTTTCCACTAACTCTCTTCATTTAGCGTAGAAATACCGAGGCGAATGTGGTGGGCCACCCTGAATACAGGGTGTAACAGAAGTGCGTTAAAATAATCAAGTGACGTATTCCTGAGATAATTTAAAAAAAAAGTTTATATGAACTTGTGTCCGAAAATGCTTCGTTTCGGAGATACGGGGTCTTGAAATTGAATTTTTTTGTTCGCTTTTTGAAAATAACTCTTGTAAAAAATAAGTTATTTGCACGAAATTCGGTACCAGGGTTTTTTTGGGAAATCATAATTTCGTATTAATTTTCATGTAACATATAGAGGGTGCTGTGTACGCTGTCATTATTTATTTCAAATTGCCCTATCTTCTTTGACAGTAAACTTTTGGTACTTTTCATGAAAAACCCATTTCACACACCTTTTCCAAGTAAAAAAGGTACACTACCTCAACAACGCTGAAGGTGATCGTTTTCGAGATATTTACAATTTTCTATATCGATGTATATTACTTAGCTCCTAAGGCGCTAAGTGAAATTGCTGAGAACATTACAAAAACTAAGTATGTGGTGGACCTCGTCAAAATAAACAACTTTTTCCTATAAAATGTTTAACGAAGAATGATTCGGTTTCGAAATACAGATTGTTGAAATTTTTCAAAACATGGTAGGTTTCTGTCATGAGATTTTTCAATTTTAGTTATTTTCATCAAACTTTATACGCAGTATACCCGTACAGACTTCTTGTAAACTGAGCATTATCGAACTGCCTATTCAATCCAAATTAAAAAAATTGTCAGGTTTAATTATTCAATTCAATTAGAAAGTGTTACATTTCGGAGTTTGTAAAAAAAAACAATTCGAAGAAGTACTGTTATTTATTAGGAAAATAAACATATAATTGAACGAAACAACTATTACAACAACTGTCCAAAGTGACGACCCCCAACAGTAAGACAAGTTCTGCTGTGCACCCGTTGAAAAATGCCCGGCGTGTTCCTTATCGTTTCGCAGCAAGCTATGATGCGATCTTTCAACATTTTCTCGTTTCCAATGGGGCTAGCATAAACTAGTGATTTTAGGTGTCCCCAAAAGAAAAAATTTACGAGATTGAGGTCCGGTGACCTTGGGGGCCAATGCTCAGTGTCTCCTCTTCCTATCCATCGTTGGGGATATGCTACGTCTAAAAAATTTCTTGCCATCACACTAAAATGGGCAGGAGCTCCATCGTGCATAAACCAAGAGTGATTTCGGAGACCAATGGAAACATCTTCCATAGGTTGGGAAAGCTCGTGTTCCAAAAAATGTAGGTAAGCATCTCCATTCAAACGTAAGGGGAGAAATTAGGACCCAATTAAATAATCCCCAATTATGCCTACCCATATATCAAAAGAGAATCTGTCTTGGAAATGAGTTTGCGTTATCGCATGTGGGTTATTTTCCGCCCAGATGTAGTTGTTATGGAAGTTCATGATACCATTTCTTGAAAAATAAGCCTCATCTGTAAAGAGGATTTTCGATAAACTTTGCGGATGTTGTTCGAATTTTCTTTGAAGCCATTGAGCAAATTCGATACGTGGTTGGAAATCACGTAGCGTTAATGCCTGGACACGCTGAATATGGTAAGTATATAATTGCTGTTCCTTTAAAATTCTGTAAACTGCCATGCGACTTACATTTAAAGTTTCACTAACTTTTTTTGTACTTTGGATGTTCACTAATTTCTTCGAGAACCGCCTTCTCCAATTCTACAGTTCTTGTAGTCCGTAGCCGTCCTACTGCAGAATTTGTTTCAAAGCTTCCATATTCGGAAAATCGCCGGAAAAGATTCGCAAATGTCGCTGCACAAGAATACCTTTTCTGGCGATACATTTCCTAATAGATGCGTCTGACCTCGCTTGAATTTCCGTCATCCAAACAATATGCAAAAACCATATCAGCCATTTAAGCATTCGTAAAGTCGGGCATGGTACCAAAAAATCACTTTATAGACTCCGAACTGTGAATTTGTCAATTGATAGTTAAAAATGTGACAGCGAACTTCTATTTTTACAAACTTTCATAGCCTACTCGATTTAATTAACTTAATTTGCAAGCGGAGAGTGACAAAAATTATTGAAATCAAATTTGGCTATAAAGTAATATGCATCGATAAAGAAAATTATAAATATCTCGAAAACGATCACCTCCAGCGTTGTTGAGGAGGTGTACCTTTTCAACTTGAAAAAGGTGTGGAAATTAGGTTTTTTCATGAAAAGTACCAAAAGTTAACTGTCAAAATATTCGAAAAAAATAATGACAGCGTACGCAGCGCCCTCTAGATGTTACATGAAAACTAATACGAAATTATGATTTCCCACGTAAAAAAACCTCGGGTACCGAATTTCGTGCAAATAACTTATTTTTTGCAAAAGTCATTTTCAAAAAGCCAACGAAAAAATTCAATTTCAACACCCCGTATCTCCGAAACAAAGCATTTTCGGAGACAAGTTCATATAGACTTTTTTTCTTAAAATTGTCTCAGGAATACGTCACTTGAATATTTTAACATACTTATGTTACACCCTGTATATACGCATATTTTTATATTCTTATATTCTATATTTGTTATTATCTTAAAATTAATTAAAAACTTGTATAACAACATAAATCATTAAAAATATTATTGAAGTGCTGGTTTGAACTATAATAAGGCCGGATTTTAGGTAACCTTTTGACCTTTGTACTGATAGTTTTGTTCCATGGAATACTTTTGTGCTGTGGGATAGTCTGTCACTATAAAAAATTAGAATATTATAACTGTGAACATTTTGTGATAGTAAAGTGTCTTGCACGAATCTCGAGGTTGAGACATAGACTTATAAAATTATCGTAGAAGTCTGCATCTACTGAAAAATATCATCTGGAACAGTTGTTAACCGTTGCAATCACCTTTCCCACATCATGTAACTAGAGCACTACCGAACGAATTCGGTTAGCAAACCATTAGTTATGGTCATATCCTGATGATGCTAACTTGTTTCGTAAAATGTGCGTCGAAAAACAGTTCTTCAGTTCTGACGAGGAAAAAATATTATCAATACATTCATTTCAAGTCGCAAAGATTCCAGTTCTAGCTATCATCTCATAGTCAAGGTATTGACAAATAATTTGTGAGACATTTGATTATAAAACTTCAAGTTCTCAGAACTCGAATCTGGGAGTATGTATCAAGTCATGATATTAGTCTGTTTTGTGACATTTTGCATAGTTACATACAATTTTAGAAGGTGACAGAAACAATAGAAATCCCTTAGACCAGAGAAGAGACAAGACCATTTGAAAATGGTCTAATAAACCGAAATCAGTCGTAACAAATAATAAACTTGGTAGAAATTAGACCAAAGTTATTTTCTTTATTCTATATTCAGTATTAATTTCTACAAAATAAATAGGTCATCAATCGAACAAGGTAAAAAAACTAAATGCCTTCATTTTCCATCTTAATTTACTAATTTACAATTTTTTGTGTAATGTGAAATAATATCAAATCATATACTAGATATGTTTGTTCATAAATGATTTATAAACATTTGTACCTAGCGTCAATTACCGCCGCCATAAGCATATATCATTTGTCAAGAAAAAATCTCAACTTTTTTTTTATATTTGAGTAATCTATTTAGATTAGGTATATAAGAAGAGCC